TCAGTTCCTGGAAAAATATTAAGTAGAATTATTTTGGAAAGATTAAAAGATGCTTTGATAAAAAGCTAAGAGATGAGCAGGCAGTTTTTCGGTCAAACAGATCCTGTACTGACCAGATAGCCACATTACGTATTATAATATAGCAAAGCATTGAACTGAACTCACCACTTTACATTGGATTTATAGACTATGAAAAAAGCATTTGACAGCATTGATAGGGAGTCTCTCTGGAAATTGATGGGACACTATGGAATCCCACAGAAAATTAACAGCTTAGTAAAGGCAACATATAAAGACATGAAATGTCGAGTTCTTCATGAGGGAAAGCTAACAGATGCGTTTAAAAAAAAAAAAAAACAGGTGTGCGACAGGGATGTCTTTTGTCGCCTCTCTTATTTTTACTGGCTATAGACTGAATTATGAAAACAGTAACTGCTAACACCAAGAATGGAATTCAGTGGACCCCTACAAAACAGCTTGATGATCTAGACTTCGCTGATGATATTGCTCCTCTGTCCCATTCACGGAATCAGATGCAAGATAAATTAAATTTACTTGATGCGAGATCCCAGCAGCTTGGACTGAAAATTCACAAAGGAAAGACAAAGATAATGAGAATAAATCAGGCAAATAGTAATGTGGTTTCTCTTTTTGGCACCCCACTCCAAGATGTGGAGTCGTACACCTATTTGGGCAGTAATGTAGATAAAGATGGAGGAACTGATAGAGATATTAAAATAAGAATACAAAAGGCAAGAGGGGCATTCATAGCACTAGGGAATTTGTGGAGGTCAAAAGAAATTAAAAAAAAATACTAAACTAAACATTTTTAATTCTAATGTCAAATCAGTGCTATTGTATGGGGAGGAAACATAGAGAACAACTAAGACAATTACTAATAAATTACAGACATTCATTAACTGGTGCCTGCGCAGAATAGAGGGAATAAAATGGTATGATAGAATAACTAATGTAGAGCTTTGGGAGCGAACTAAACAGGCTCCAGTGGACCAAGAGATGAGGAAAAGACGCTGGCGTTGGATAGGACACACACTGAGAAAACAGGAGAACAGCATAACTAGAATGTCTTTGCATTGGAACCCACAGGAGCATAGGAATAAAGGAAGGCCAAAAAACACAAGGAGAAGAGAGCTGGAGAATGAAGTTAGAAAGATTGGGAGGACATGGGGATAGCTCCATGTAATGGCGAAGGATAGAACGACATGGGGTGAGTTGGTTGAGGTCCTATGCTCCATTGGGGGATAGAAAGGCAGAAGAAGAAGAGACAGTGTAGCAACGGAGATGTGATTTTACAGAAGAATGATAAAAACATCTTGAACAGATAAAAACAGTAAAAAAAATGTCTTGAAAAAAAGGACTAACATAGAGAGCTCACTGCACATATGAGAAGAAGAAAGTCTACATTTTTTAGCCATGTGTCATGAAAAGGAAAAACTAGGTTACATCCTGACAAGATAGAGGGAACAAGGGAAGAGAGGCAGAGAGTAAGAGAGAGAGAGAGAGAGAGAGAGAGAGAGAGAGAGAGAGAGAGAGAGAGAGATAGAGAGATAGAGAGAGAGAGAGATAGAGAGAGAGAGAGAGAGAGAGATAGAGAGAGAGAAGATGCTGGACAGCAGGACAGTTTGACATTTTGGCATGGAGGATCATCTGTGTCAGAGTTGAATGAAGTACATGAGTCAGAAGGTTGTAGTCAGACATGATTAAAAACGCCACACGCCACGGACTATAAGAACAAGTGGATAGACACGGCTACCAACGCCACACGACAGGAACTAAAAAAAAAAGTACAGAAATAGAAAAACCCCCTGATTCCATGACAGATACTGTAAATCTGGAGAAATATGGCTTTTCTGCCTACTCCCGGGCGTGAACCCGGACCACAAGGAGTTCGTCACCCGGTCAACACGCAGTCAGGTTTAACCTACTGCGCTAGCGAACTGGGCTAAGAAGACATAAATACAACAGATAAACAAATACACCGACAGAAGAAATGTGGGATAAAGGGACAATATAAAGTGATTTAAATTAAAAAAAAGAAAAACACGGGCAAAACTAACTAGCTAACTAAACAGCAAAGAGAAGGAATACACTCACCTCTCCCTGCACAAACAAATCAATAAATACAAACGTTAATACGTTGGCAAGAGTGTGTACACATGGGGTTATACGTTGGCAAGAGCGTGTACACATGGAGTAATACGTTGGCAAGAGTGTGTACACATGGGGTAATACGTTGGCAAGAGTGTGTACACATGGGTAATACGTTGGCAAGAGTGTGTACACATGGGGTAATACGTTGTTAAGAGTGTGTACACATGGGGTAATACGTTGGCAAGAGTGTGTACACATGGGGTTATACGTTGGCCAGAGTGTGTACACATGGGGTCATACGTTGGCCAGAGTGTGTACACATGGGGTCATACGTTGGCCAGAGTGTGTACACATGGGGTCATACGTTGGCAAGAGTGTGTACACATGG